TATAGCAAATTATGATCTTGTAGATGTTTATAATTGCGATGAGACAGCACTTTATTGGCTCTTAGAACCTTCAAAATTACTTACTTATGGTCGTATTGCGGGTATTAAAAAGCCAAAAAATCGTGTTACAATAATGTTAACATGCAATGCAGTTGGTCATAAATTGCCTCTAGTCTTTATTCATAAATTTGAAAATCTGCATACGATAAGAGGAATAAAAAAATCAACTTTACCTGTCAAATATTATTGGAACAAAAAGGCCTGGATGCAGATTTCGATTTTTTAAAACTGGTTATCACAATTAGATAGTCAAATACGTCTTGCTCATCGAAAAATTCTTTTACTTGTAGATAATTGTTTAGCATATTCTATTGAAGGTTTAAATTTGTCTAATATTAATATAGTTTTTCTTCCAAAAAATACTATAGCATGGTTACAACCATGCGATGCTAGAATCATCTACTCATTTAAGATTAGTATTAAATTTTTTTTTAAATTTTAAATAATTGTTAACAACAATAACATTTATACAATTTAGTGTTATTATCGCAAGCTATTATTACAAAACCGAATTGCTGCATTTGATGAAGCAAATCTAACCAATGAACCCCCAGATCCTGTTACAATTTATAATGCAATTCAGTTTGTTGCACAGGCATGGAATAAGGTTTCTTAAGATACAATTATTCATTTATAGCAAAAAACTAGTATTCTTCCTTTTGCAGAAATTGATGAATGTCTGGATACAGAAGTTTCAGCTAAAATAAATAATGACAATGAGGAAACAGAATTAGAAAATCTTATTAGACAATTTTAGGATTTAAAAAATCCTGAAAACTCTAAGCATTTAAATATTTCTATACATGAGTTTATCGAAATTGATAATAAATATGCAACAGGTAAAATGCCTACAATTAATGAGCTTATAGAAGAAATACAAGAAAGTGAACCTAAAGAAGAAGAACTAAAGAAACAAAAACCTGTTATACTAACTCAAGCTGTTACCGGAATAGATTCAGTATTGGGTTATATTGAACAGCTTGAATCGAATTTTCAAATTGATATTAAAGTTTTTGCTGAACTTAAACAGATGCGAAAAGAGCTTGCTTATTTAACAAAAAAAAATTCAAAGCAAACAAAATTAGATTCATTTTTTATTAAAGAATAAATAAATCAGAAATAGTAAGTATAAACAATTTAAAAGCAGTAGGTATAATAATATTTAAATGTTAATTTATTAAATGATTACATTATTTTACAAATCTAATTTGTTTTAAATTCAGCACAGAACAAAGATGATTTTATTATATAACTTAAACCATTTTAAATAAATATATCTGATATTATCATTATTAATTTTTTATCCAAGTTACATTTTTATCGTTATTAATAAAGGCTACTCTCAAGCACCCTTAAGTACTACCCTTAATTGGCTATAATTGAGGTACCGTATAACACTGACTATAGTACCCCCTTGCTATAATACTCCCGATATAAAAGACTCAGGTACAATTCACGGGTTTGCATTTGTGATTATGGAATAATACCCAGGTATAATATAAATTTCACTTATTATAATACCCCCGTAAAAAAGACCAGGATATAATTTATAATTTATAATTTATTTATTTGAACTAGCATCGTAATATATTTTTAATTTAAGATTTATTATAATCGTTTAACCATTTATTTATATAACTAAAAAAAATTTAGCTATCATAATACATAAAACTAAAATACGATAATA